CAACGTGAATACTCGTGTAATACCAATAAAATTAAATATCTCTACTCAGTACCTTACCATATACGTGTCCGTGTTATTTTGTTATCAATTTACGACCAAATTCATTGCGAAATGGTGTCGCAACCGAGCTCAGTTACTGGACAATTCTGAAATTAAGAAAAGTACACAATTAGCAAAGTAGCCATTGTGAATTTATATTGTCAGCCATCAATAGCCTTATAAGTAAGTGCTGCTGACTAAAAGCCTCTTCTCGCATGGAGAAAATATGAGCATTAATCACCACGCATACTCAATGTGGGTTGGCGATTTAAAACTTATAATTAGATTATAAGTTAAGGTCAAATATTATTTGTATAAAATAATTAAAATTGTATTGTAGTTATATGCACTCAGTAATACTCGAGTATTAAATAGTATTACAAACGTACAAACATAACTATAATTACCGTATTATGTACAGATAACTATAATTATTACTTTGTTTACTTATCCGTACAAAGCTCACCACGATTATTGAATTTTACATTCACTACTGCGTTCAATTTTATATTATTACAATATTATATTTAATTGACTCGTTTATACCTTAAAAAAGTAATAATAATAAAAATGCTACTCGACGTGCAGGAGAAGGAACGGGGTGGTTTTTAGTCAGTAAGAGTCTGACACTCCCTCCCGCCTCACCAAGGCGGGAGCAGTCATTCGATAATTTCCCCCCCTTAAAAAAAAGGCATAAAAAATCCTCATCGCTATAGTGAGGTGAGGTAAGAAAAAGACTGGCAGCATTACCACGTTGAATGGCAATGCTTAACCTTTGCCCAAGGTAGTAGCAAGCCCTTCGATCACCTATTGTCAACCATCCTTCTTACAATATCTCCTTATATATTTTGACTCGTTGCCAAACACGAGAACTCGAGTTAGGCTAACAAGTTTTAATATGCATTAGATAAAATAATACTAAATTATTTCAAATTGCATATAAGTATACTTAATAAAAAGAGACATGGTGGCCCGGAGGTTTACGACTCCCACTTCTCATGCTTTCAAATGCGTGTTCGAAACCTACCAACGACAAGTACCAATGTGACTTTCCGAGTTATATGCACTTTCTGAGATTATTTAGACACCACTGACAAACGGTGAAGGAAAACATCGCGAAGAAACTTAAGCTTATAATTTCTAATCATAAGCTTGAAATCGCCAACCTACAGTAAGCAAGCGTGGCGATTAATGCTCAAACCTTTTCTGTGTGAGAAGAGGCCTTTGGTCAGCAGTTACCAAAGGATGTTCATGATGCTTAATGGGTGAAGGTTTAAGACGGACCTCGGATGTTCTGTTATAAATAAAATAAAATTTTAATAAAATTTGAATTTTATGATTACCTATTGTACCTATAAATGTCGCGGGGAACCTAACGGGTTACCGGGGCTCCGGCTCGACGTGCAGAAGAAGGAACGGGGTGGTTTTTAGTCAGTAAGAGTCTGACACTCCCTCCCTCGCATCACCCAGGCGGGAGGAGCCATTCGATGATATTCTCCCCTTAAAAAAATTTTTACCTATAAATAGTTACTTGTAGTTTTAAATATTTAACTTAAACAGTTATATTTTAACGGGGATCTTTATTGTTTTCATCCGAATGGTTGTATTGTATCTAGGTTAGTACCTATAAGTCATAAATTAATATTTAATATAATCAGATAATAAGTAAATACTGAAATATATTGAAAGTACTTTTAAGACTGATGGCCACACTATCGTATTGGATTAGTCTGTAATGGTAATTATTAGTATTAAATAAATAAAGTTGTAAAGGATAGCCTCTCTACCTAGTCCAGAATCATCATGTCGTTCTCAAAGCCTATCTCGTAATAATCCTAATTTGAATTCAATCAGTACCTATCTCAGATAGAGATAAATGTTCAAGAGATATTTACGAATGCAACCATCATCAAACGAGTAATCTATAGCTTTTATTGCATCAAGTGAATTGCACTTTCCATAATGCTGCGAGAAATTTTACCATTACACATTTTTTTAATCAAGTTTATTATAAGACTTTTCACTTAAAAATTAAAATGGAAGATCTGCATTTCCGATCAACTTAAAGTATAATAAACATTTATTTAGTCAAATAAATAAATACTGATTCATATTATCTCTAACATTGACCTTGATATCTTAATTAATTAAATATTTGTTTACCTTTTCTGTTCCTCATTAATCTGTTCCAATCTTCACCTGCGTCGTAATAAAATCTCGCGATAATATTTAAAAATGTATTAAATGGCACGTCTTAACAGTTCGACTGTCACAATAGTACTGAGCTCGCCGCTGCATTCGCTAGATCTTGTTGCGTACGCGCATACTTTGATGCAATTAATTTCTGACCAGCCGCGTTCATGTACAGCATGTTGTTTTTTTGCGGATAGTGTATTGGTGAATTAGAAAGGTGTTTTTATTTTTAATATTAAATGTAATGTTTATTTTGACACTCTACTCGTTTGTGAGAACTATTTTGCAACATTGTTTCTGTGTGAGAATTGTACACATTTCTCTGTTTATTACTAAGGTATCATAATAATAGTAAAGTACTCATTTAAACTATTTTTTAGTGATAGTTATTGAATAAAAAGTATTTATTAAATTAGTAACATCATCTTTAGCTCAAGTTCAGGTCAAACGACTGTGTGATTAATATTTGTATTATAACTTTCGTGAGACATACTAAATATATTATGTTTTCGGCTTACTCACGTAATTATTTGACGAGGAACTCGACTAGTTTCAAGCCATACTAGAGGCTCAAATTCATGAGCAGCATTTCGCGACCCGCGACGCGTCGACTGTCGCGCTGCTACTGGATGAGGGATCTCATGAATATGAGCCTCTAGTATGGATTGAAACTAGACGAGTTACTCGTCAAATAATTTCGTGAGTAAGCCGAAAATATAATAATATATGTGTGATTTATCTTGCCATATAATTTTTAAGTCATTCCTGTGCAACACAATTCAAGTTTCAAACTGCATAATAGATATTGCGGTCCTTTTGTGCAACCTGCTTGCAGTTGCATCGCTATTGTAGAATGATTCCCATTAATCACAGTCAAGGCTAGTGGTCCTTTGATCTGCAGTACTTATTAGCTCAATAAAGGAGGTATTTAATTAAGTAATTGAGAAATCTTAAGCCAATGCAAGTATTCTAGGTTAATGCTCATTAATAACAGATGTTGAACATTTTTAGGGTTATGTATCCAAACAGCAAAACCTCGCAGCCCCCCACTCTGTTAGTAATTTCCTAATTAATCTCACTCTGTTAGTAATTCGTTAGTATTTAGGATAATTATCTTATAAAGCGTGATAGTAGATACATTTTAAACAAATTCTATTTAGGAAATAATTAAATAAATAATTTTAATTATAACGTAACTGCTTTATTTTAATAGGTATTATCTTGGTATACTTTTGTCGCATATTGGTTTGAGTCTCAAAGGTACATATAGTTATTTAAAAGCCTCTGAAGTTACTTAATTCTTAAAATATAATGCTTTTTGTGTATATTGGTTCCTAAAATCGGTTGTTGTGACCCCAAGGACCATAATAATATAATAGAAAAACACAATGTTCTATTTTTTTATAAATATTAATTTATCGATAAATTATTGTAACGACTATTATATATAGTTACAATTTACACAGTATTATACTGAACTAATTGCTGTTTACAAAACAGATGCTAAACGTGAGGATGATCCAAGATCATGTGTGACGCGATTGTTTACTGTTTATGTTCTATTTTATTAGTCATTAGAGTTCAATGTTGCTTGTTTATCAACTGCAGCTGCTTATTGATTGTTACATAGTTATTTTATAGACTTGTGTATACAGGGTGGAATGAATTGCTTTAAATGGCTAAAATTTTATTTCATATAAATTTTTGTTTTTTTTTCAAATTATATCAATAAATATTTCCGTAATATCATAAAATAGTAATATTGTTAACAATAATTAATTTAACCGTGTCTGTCGATGTATAAGACACAATATTTTGTATCATAAACTGAAATAGCTGCGCCTTTTCTTAAAAATTCAACTAAGTACTAACATCTTTATACGATTAGACCAACGAAGCAATCAAAATAATTAATTTTATTATGTATAAGATTACCGTATCTACCATAGTAAATAACACATAAGTAAAGAAACAACAAAAGAATGATGCAAATTGCCTTAAGAACTTAGTTCTAGCCTTACAAACACCGTCACATGCAAAAATCACCCTCATTACTTAAAAAACAAAGCTGCTTTTGTACTGTACGTATGTAATTAGTATAGATGTGCACAAAATTCACTATTATGACTTAGAAAATAACGTTGCTTTTGTTATGTAGTTTGTAAGTATGTATATTTGTTTGTGATAAAACTAAGGAGACAGATGTTCTATTGTTTGTTTTTAGTCTCATGTATTTATACATATTATGACGTGTAGGTATGTACTATAGTTAATTAATATAGAAATATTAAGCCAATTACAACGTCAAGTAAACAACGTAAAAGCAAACGTCGTATATTATTTCAGAATTCTGTAAGAAACTGGGTTAAAACTCCACTTTTTGTCTGTAATCATTTTTTGGGTGTATCTTATTAATCGTGACAAATAATGTATATTACATAATAGTAAATAGTATATATAGTCATATTATGCATAAAATATATAGCATGATTATGTAATTATATTTTATTAGCTAGTTAGTTAGTAGTTATTTAGCATGCAACCAAGGCATTAGGGGACTTTTAAATGACTTGTATTTAAATTAAATGTTTAAAAAGTTTAAATTAAATATTATTATAACCAAAAGATTGTAAATATCTAAAGCCTAATTTTATAATTATTATTATATTGCGGGCCTCATATATATAAGCGATGATAAAAAAAAACTACTAATGATGAACTTGTTTATTTTTGTTGAACTTTACTCACAAATATTCTCCCTTTTGCAGACTAATGGTGTATAGAAAACGAAAAGATTACATCCGAGTATCAGGCGGTGAAGACTACAAGCTTCTTTCCAGAAAACCCTACACGGAACTGAGGAGCCTCAACGGGGCATCGAACCCACGTCAACGATGAACACATACCTACCTCTTAACTACTCGACCGATGCAACGTGAGTGAAATGGTTATCCGACTTCTAAACGAAGTTATTGGATAACTGTGAGCCGTATTTTGGGTAAATTTGAAAATACAATAATATTACAAGATTCTAAGACACGCTAGATTGTTAAAACTAATAGAAATCACTTTAACAATCTTCCAATGAATTGTATATTTGTGTTTTGAATAATTATCTATACCGATATGTAAATGATAAAGATAAAATCCACTTACTAACAAAGTAAATGTTAGTATTTATTACAAATGATTTTGACTATAGATGTCTAGCGTGTCACATTAAGAAAATAATGAATAACAATAAAATTCTTGCCGTTTCAATCCATAACTAAGTTTTCCTATATATGGATAAGCTCAATGTTAAAATAAAAGGCGTAATTTTTTAATATGAATAATTATTATTTCACATTTAAATCTATTTTGAGCAATGGAATAAAGTCGTCATTTGCTTTAAACTCAAATACAACTAGTAAAATTTTAACATGAATTCTATATGAGTTTTTATTGAGAAAAAAATATCTAATATTATTTGTCTATCTACTATCTGCTCAAAAACAAAAATAATGTTAAAAAATGTTACATTTTACAAAAATATTTCGAAACAAAAAAACATTAAAAAGGCGTTTGTATAATACCAGTTCTCCAGTGCTGTGAAATTTCGGCCGAACTGCGATTTTCGAGCGTAAACATTGCGTGGCATTAATGACAAAAATCAGAAGAAAATTTTGACTAACAACACATCACGTTCACGCTAAGAAACCGCAGTCCAGCCTTAACTTGTAAATAAATAGCTTACAAATAAATATTATCGCTTGTAATAGATTTAGTCTTAGGTTTAATACTTTAGTAAAATGAAAAAATGTTGATACAGTTTAGTTTTGTCGTTTGATTTAATTTAAATCATTAATTAACTTCTTCAAAATAATTCGTAAAGATTCAATGTCTACTTACGCGTGTAAGAAAAATATGGTACAATCATTTATTTACTAATCTCATGTGTATCCTAGTTGGAAGCTCAAGTTTTTCATTATAAAGCAATACAAGTATACTTTTGTCTTTTTAATTGCATTCTGAAATCGTATTACTGTTATATTTTACTTTTATTTATATCCTTGTCTTTATGGAGCAATTATTCTATAATATAAAACAACACTTATTGCTAAATATCTAGTAAATCACTAAAAATAAGCTTTAATCAAATTGGTCCTTTTGCAACCCAAAGGACCAGACTATAAAGTTACAATCAACGCCATCTAGTACAAAGGTGATGAACTATTTATGACAGCAACATCATTCTATAACTCTTCGGTTGCAAGCAAATACTTTACTGTAGTTTAAGTTGTGTATAGATGGAATTGCTTGTAATTGGGTAGTTGATAGGATATGAAAATTAAAAATCGAATTAGTCCGACATTTAAGTCATGAAAAAATATTAGACTCGGATTTTTTTTAATCGTCGTAAAGTAAAACTCTAAAACGTTTAAGTTTAGGAGCGAGAGGTCGCTACGTGACATGTTCCTATAAATATAAAACGTTGCGACTCCTGACGTTACACGATATTACAAATCAATATAACATCGAAAGTATTTATTCTGATAATAAAAGAAAAAAATACGTGTCTAATATTTAAACATTAATCTACCAAACATACATTTAAAAAAAATAGCAAACTACCCAATTGTGACCTTAATTCTACTATAAAAATGTCATAAGTATTATATTTTTGTAACATCATAATAATGTTTTAAAAATTAAAAGGAACACCTTCGTGTACCACCAGGCGAGATAGTAGTCAAACATCGGCCCATCAAATATAAAAACAAAATGTATTTACAAATATTTCACCTCAAGATTTGTAAATGGCCAATACCGTACCTATTACTACAGTTTTTAATTCGCCCCATGAAGACTAAGGATACATTTATATTTAGCTATTTTTTACTCCAGAACAAAGTCGATAGTCAATATTTTTATAACAATAGGTATTAAATGAGTATTATTAGATATATTAGTTTAGCCTTAGTATGTAAGTAGACAATTTTAATTGCCCAACTAAGTGTACAGTCTGCTCGGTTTTTGTACATGTTTTATGCATTTATATTAAAAATGGAATACGATTTCAGAATGCAAGACAATATTGTTTTAAATTCACATTTTGACATTCATATTATATCGTGTATAACAAATTATGTATATTCTTTTCATTTTAACTCGAGTAATCAACATATGATTTAATATAGTCTACTATATTACGTTTTCACTATATTATTTTTACTTATATTGGTTACGATTTTTTAAATTCTAATCTTAATAAATCCTTACCAATATTGTTTTGTATTTTTCATTAATCAATTTTTGTTGACATGTTTTATTAATTTTATGGAAAATGAGCTTCATCGGTGCTGGTCACCATTATTATAAGTAATATTCTTCATTTAATATTAAAATTATATCGATCATGACATAAAAATACATTTTATATTAATTTTATGTCAATTTTTATTTAAAATGTAGTCAGTATATTTTTAAATCGTTTAATGTAATTATTAGATTTGTGATTTGTTAGTTTATTTTTTTTTAGATTTGTTTATTATATTTATATTTATGTAATCTCGATGAGTAATATGATTTCTTAAATATTCTTCTATATCTTTTGCCGGCAGTTTTAATGTGACAAAAAAGCTAAAAGCTTAAAAATACTTACTTTATTTTGCTTTATACATTATTTGGCTAATTATTATACACATTAAACTTATCTCTTATAAATATTTGTCAGACGATTCTGGTAAACCAGAATACTACTTTTACGTTAAATATATAAACTGCATGTGATATTATTCTTTTTTGTATATAATATAAAATCAAATAAATGACATTTCAGTAGGCGATTATATAATTCTATTGTTCCTAGGCGATTTTATTAGTTTTTAATTTAGTTGTTGTTGGTTCGCTGTTACTCTGTAGGCACCCAAACTGCATGGGTCGTGATGTCATCGTGTATAGTTATTAGTACGAATTTGACAAATAAATAAGATTTATTAAATATATTCTGTTTTTTATTTTATCTGGTCTTTATGTCCCTCAAATTAGGAACGAGTTCTGGTTAGTTTCAACAGATGTCACTGTATTACATTTTACAAAAATTACTATTAAAACAACATGTATAATTATTTTATAACGTTTTGTATTACCTACATAAAATGTATAACAGATTCATACCTAAATATATTTACAAATATCATACATTAACTTACAATAATGAGATAAAGTTCAAGGAATCATTTGAACTAACTCTTGATCACCTTTTCTATTTCTAGTTTCATCTTCTCTAAACCGACCATGATTAAAAAAGTATTCGATTTCTTGCAACGTCCTATCCTTAGTTTCAGGCAACATAAAGTACAAAAATACTAAAGAAATAGCCATAACTATTCCTAATATTGTAAAAGTCCCATACACTTTAAAGGTCTCCAACAAGAATGGTGTAGTTTTTAACGTAACGATACTAGTTACAGAAATTAATATACCAGCAATTGTGGTTCCTGCTGCTCTATGTTCTAGAGGAAATATCTCCCCCACCAAAGCCAAAGGTATTGGTGCACAGGCGAAATTAACTATAGCAAAATACAAAGCGAATAGAGACAATGGTACTCTAGGCGCATTAGGTATCAGGTCCTTAGAAGCCAAGTATAAGTAACCACACGCGGCTTTAAGCACCACAACTGCAGCAAACCCAGTCGTAAACAATAAAGTCCGCCTTTTCATAATCTTAATCAAGTAAGATGAAAATGTAGCACTGACGGCCAATATAACATCTAAGGCAAAAGTGTAATAAATAGACCCTGAGTTTCCTGATATTTCTGATATTATCTGAACAGCGTACGCTGGGAAAATATGTCTACCAGTCGTCTCCAGTAAAATCGCTGCAAACAAATAATTCAAGACAGGCATCACGAAGTCTCTCTTGCCAAACTTCTGGCAGAAATGTGCCAATTTCTGGTAGACACTCAACTCTTCTGTTGGCTGTCGTTCTTGCTGAGCTTCGATCATTTCTGTCAGCTCTTTTTCTGATTGTTCCGTCTTTCCCCTCAGTCTGTAGAAGACCGTTCTACTTCTGTCAAATCTTTTTTTGGAGGCCAACCAGGACGGACTTTCTGGCCATGTGCAGACCATAGCAAAAGCCAATAAGTATGGAATTAAAGTTATAGCAGCTACTGTCCTCCAGTGAAAGTAATGTCCAAGGATATGGACTAAAGTACTGCCCACGTAGAGGGCCGCAGTCTTCAGATTTAAAAACATCCCTCTATGAACAGGACTGGAGTATTCTCCTATAACTATAGCGCCTAATATCGTTGTGGATCCCGCTGTGATGCCTTGCAGAACTCTTGCAGCGAGCAAGCAGGCGACGTTTGTGGAGAAGTACATGACGATGAGGCCTAAAGCTCCTGGAATGATGTCCAGGATAAAGCCCATTTTTCTACCGAAGCGATCCATATAGTATGATGATGAAAGGAAGCCTGGTATCCAAGCTAGACTGAAGGATGCCGCTGTAATGAAGAGAAAAGATGATTAATTAAAATTCAAACTTCCACGTCACAATGCACAGGTCTATTTGGATGTATTATATCAACAGTTGTAATTTTAAGTTCTTTTTTTTAAGGGTGGAAAATCTTCGAATGACTGCTCCCGCCTTAATGTCAGACTCTTACTGACTAAAAACTACCCCGTTCCTTCTCCTGCGCTTCGAGCCGGAGCCCCGGTAACCCGTTAGGTTCTTCGCGACAATAGGCGTGTCGACAGGGTAAAAAAATCAAAAAAGTAATTAGTCCGTCATTAAGATCGCACGAAAATATCAGACACGTATTTTTTGTTTTATCAAATTAACAGAAGAATACGTAGTTATTCCGCATTAAAGTAAGGGAGTGGGGGGTGTTGACGTCACTTACGGAGAAATCGTACCTAATTGTGACGTCACGCGTCATTTTAACTCAAAATATCTACATGTTTTTTTGGATACGAGAAAAAAGAAAAAATACGTATCGAAGATTTTTAAAATATCTAAAAGACGGACAAAAAATTAAAAAATAGTCGCCATGCCTATTTTAAGTAAGATAAGATCACTTAAGTAGTTAATTAACATCCCAATAAGATAGTTTTGTTTATTTTTTTATTGAGAGAAGCACCTCCGACTGCTTTTGATTAAAGATACAAAGACCAAAATGGGTCGATGATGATGGTATGAATATTTTATACCTTTATGGGACTTACCTATCCATGAGGATTCTTCCAATGTGGCTTTAATTGGTGAGTCAGGATCCTTGAGAGCTGGCAGTAGACATGTGGTGAATCCCAGGAATGTGCCCACTTCCACCATCGTGAGGAGTACTCCTGACACAATCCATATCTGGAAATAAATGTGGAACATTTTTAAGTACAGGTACAATTTTCCAATCATACTTTAAAGTCATAGCATCACGTCTTTTATCCTCGAAGGGGTAGGCGGAGGTGCACATTACAGCACTTAATGCCACTGTACAATGTAACACCCACTTTTCACTGTTTATGTTATGCGTCCCATGTAATAGGAGTGAGCCTCTTGCCATATACCAGGCACAATACCAGACTCCGTGCTACTACTGAAAATTTTATGAAACTCAATAATGCTTTGCCCGACCCGGGAATCGAACCCAAGACCCCTTTCCCGGCAGTCACACTTGCGACCACTTAGAGGTAGGTAGGTAGTCTTTAAAGTCAAAAGCTGAAATAACTTCAAATGAGTTGGTAGAAATAAATTTGGTATACGAATATTCACTGACAGAAATATGACAATTATTTTTTTTAATTTTCGGCTACAAGAGACCGAGACCTTGGACCCAATTTTTTTAACTGGAATTACACAGGCAGACGTAACAGAGCTTATGTAGAAGATATATACTTAAATGTATAATTTTATTTTTTTAAAGGGGCAAAATCATCCATCGGTTACGCGGGGACAGGAGTGTCAGATTCTTACTGACTAAAAACCACCCCTGCACTTCGAACCGAGCCGCGCCATATCGGTATCAGCCCTATTGGGGGCCAACCGTGGTGGTCTGATGGCTCTATGAACGATGGAACGCGACGAGCCGTACGCTATCGTACGGCTACGCTATGTATTATAAGATCTATTTAAGGATTTGTTATTGGTGTACAAATAGTTTTTGCTTTCAGTTTCACGTACAAAAATGACAAGAAATTACCACGATTTTGATGTTAATTGTCGACGTCATTTATTAATACCAAGTTTCCGTGAACGTAGCAACAACACTAAAAAATAAACACAATTTTTAACGTCACAAAAATATAAAAAAATTTCAACTCACCTGTTTAAAAACTGCGTTAGTCATCGTAACTTTAACATATAGTACTATTTATATATAAATAAAAGCACCACCTGTCTCTTTACTGGTCACAGGAGAACTACAATACATTTCGATACGCGAGTACTTTTATAATTCATAGATAGCTTTATCAGTCACATTTAGGATTTTAGATATATCAAAACTGGTGATAAAACTGGATATTACTAGTATTTGTTATAACAAATAATATAACAACATTACCTTATCGTGTAATCAATAAATTGACAATGATTTTGCAAAAACAATCCAAAAATAGACATCGAATTCTGGTTGACAACAACAACGTAAGTATGAGAGCTGCGGAGAACTTAACGGGTTACCGGGGCTCCGGCTCGAAGTGAAGGAGTAGGAACGGGGTGGTTTTTAGTCAATAAGAGTCTGACACTCTGTCCCGCCTCACCCAGGCAAGAGGAGTCATTCGATGATTTTCCCCCCTTAAGAAAAAAACAGTAAGAATTGGGTACCTACTTGCCTTGATCAAAAATAAATTACTTCGACTGTTCAATACAATTAAATATTAGAAAATAATCACACTTTAATTGATGATTTTATGACTTCATTTTAGTATAATTCCAGCATTTTTTTAAGAAATAAGTACGCTGTTTCATTCTACAAAAACGTGACGTCACAATACACAATCTCCTACAAAATTCATAGAAAACGGTCGTTTTTGACAGTTCGAAAAAAGTATTGAATTTGACTAGTTGGCAAATACCGAATTGTTCGTAGAAATTATTTTCGTCGTCCGATTACATTGTTGTTATTTAAGGATCAAATTGTTTTGGTTTTAATTACAACTGGATACTATAGACACGAATTAAATTAAGTGGGTACCTAGTACCTACCTACTACTGAAAACTGATATTTTAAAACTACTTGGTAAGTAAGCAGCTACCTAATCGCCAGTAAAGGATAACTAATCTTATACTATTATTATATATATAAAGCGGAAGAGTTTGTTTTTTGTTTGTTTGTTTGAACGCGCTAATCTCCGTAACTACAAGTCGGATTTGAATAATTGTCTTTGTGTTGGATAGCGCATTTATCGAGGATGGCTATAGGCTATAAAACATCACTCTA